TTCTTTGCATGTGTACACAGAACGACTTAACATTGCAAGAGACAAGTTTCAATGTTACAGATAACGAAACACCAAACTTGCCAGAATATGAAGAAATAGGTGCAACGAGTAATGTTGTTGCGACAACAATAACACAGTTATCCCAACCACATTCTGGTGTACAGAGGAATTACCCTATGCCTCAGTATGAAGGTGAAGATCAACATGGACAAACAGAGGCTGTTTCAAATCCACCTTCACTCACCTATCAGACCATCCAACATTGTACTGGTAACTACGATTTATTGAGTCCTTCAACACGGCTGCCCCCTAAGGGTACAGCACTGTCATCCACAGGAAGCCCAACACGTACAGGAGAGTACCAGGCCCTTCAACACAAGGGTGTGTCTCCACAGTACCAGTCTCTGGATGACTTGAGCAAATGTTAAGTGAATATCGAACCAGGTCCTCCAATACCAGGGTGTGTCTCCACAGTACCAGTCTCTGGATGGCTTGTGTTAAGTGAATATCGTACCAGGACCTCTAATATCAGGGTGTATCTCTACGTACAGTACCAGTCTCTGGATGACTTGAGCAAATGTTAAGTGAATATCGTACCAGGCCCTCCAATACCAGGGTGTGTCTCCACAGTACCAGTCTCTGGATGGCTTGAGCAAATGTTAAGTGAATATCGTAATAGCCGTTTCCAGAAAATAGTTTTCTTCAGTTTTGTTCTTTTGTGTGTGTGTGTGTGTGTGTGCGTGTGTGTGTGATTTTTTTATTTTGATTATTTTTCATTTGTTCGTTGATCTCATTGTTTATCTTTTTAGAAAGAACTAATTGATTCCTTTTTGCCTCAAGCTCTGCTTTCTCGGGGGGAAATTTAAAGAAGAACGTTTTACTCCCTTGTTTTTTGAGTATTATATTTGACTATATTAGATAGTAATTCTAATACTGTCTATTCTATATGCTTGGTGGGGTGTTATCGTTTGATTACTAAGAGAATAGAGACTTGAATATATTAGATGTGCAGCTTTATTTTTCATTTAGAAATGTATTTAACCTATATTACTGCAAATTATTTTATGTATATATAAACGTATATGCGATTAAGTGATTCGATTAGGAATTCCTTGTGCATTCTTCGATTGAGTGTTACGTCATCGCGGCCATGTTGGTACCATTTAACAAAAGATTTCTCATTAGCATCCATTGTTAACGGTACCACAATGGCCGCCATGTTTTTGTCTTTTGTCTCGCTTGAGAATGCTTGCAACCAATCAATTGGCTAGCTTGTCGTATAAATGAATATTAAGGGTGAAAGGTGAATGATGCTAAACAGCGTGAATAAGAAGCTGCAGCTACAATACAGTTATACTAACAACCTTATCCAGCTGGTGGAATAATTTACTATTATACCTAAGTATCTTCAATTTATCTTCATAATCGCACGTCATAGACAACTACCATAATTCCAGAGGCTTTAGGTTTTGGAATTCGTGTTTTTAAACTCTAGAATNACTGCGCATGCCGCCATGTTTTTATATGATAATCGCGTGAAGAGTTCGTATGCTAACGAAGCTGGATGATCACATGACTGATTTCATCCCGGTAAGCGGGCTGAATTTTCCCATATAAACGCAATCCAAAATTCATCTCGGCCAAGCGGACTAGCCCGCTTGCCGGGCTGGCTCGCTCCATATAAACAGCCCCTAATACCGTCTCTTCTATACGCTTGGTGGGTGTTATCGTTTGATTACTAAGAGAATAGAGACTTGAATATATTAGATGTGCAGCTTTATTTTTCATTTAGAAATGTATTTAACCTATATTACTGCAAATTATTTTATGTATATATAAACGTATATGCGATTAAGTGATTCGATTAGGAATTCCTTGTGCATTCTTCGATTGAGTGTTACGTCATCGCGGCCATGTTGGTACCATTTAACAAAAGATTTCTCATTAGCATCCATTGTTAACGGTACCACAATGGCCGCCATGTTTTTGTCTTTTGTCTCGCTTGAGAATGCTTGCAACCAATCAATTGGCTAGCTTGTCGTATAAATGAATATTAAGGGTGAAAGGTGAATGATGCTAAACAGCGTGAATAAGAAGCTGCAGCTACAATACAGTTATACTAACAACCTTATCCAGCTGGTGGAATAATTTACTATTATACCTAAGTATCTTCAATTTATCTTCATAATCGCACGTCATAGACAACTACCATAATTCCAGAGGCTTTAGGTTTTGGAATTCGTGTTTTTAAACTCTAGAATTATGGTGAGATTTCAAATCAGTGTGATCATGAATACCCGTGCAAGTTGAATATTTCGGTAAGCTATTGTTATTGCAGCATTATTCTCCTTCACAGTTCCCCGCACCATTTTGAAAGGTAGCCATGGCTATGCATTGTAGCGAGAACGGCGGTGACCTTAGATTACAATGATAGAAACATTTTTAACACCTTAGACAATTATTCACATGTCTTTAACATTGCAAGATATTTAATAAGGCTATTAATTAAAAGATTATATATGATTATTTCTGGTTAGAACTATAGCGAATATTAATTATTTTTTGTGCTAACCTCCATCCATAAAATTATTTCATGTCATGGAGTTGTCCAGAATACGATACACGAAGAAAAGAGGATCATAGGATTGCGTAGCCTCCTTTGCAGCCTTTCTTAGGGTCGTCACGCAACGTTTAAACGTTGCGTGACGACCCTAAGAACGGCTGCAAAGGAGGCTAAGGATTGCGTAAAACATTGATCTTCTCGATAAAAGTATGTTAATGAGATCATTAACTAAAGCAACTGAAATATAATATTTTCAAATAAAAGGAGTTTACACTTTAGCAATCACTTTATTTCTGCAAGATTATCAAATGCTTGATCTCCAAGATCTAAGGAC